GAGTTAAGGATGCATATTAATTACATGTAATAGTAAATAAATATTCAGATATACTTCATGCATTGGCTTAGATGTTATTTATACTTACCTATCAAATGTCTATCATGTGTCATGTATTGAAGAAAGGAAAGCAGCTACATAGCATGTGGAATTATGTCTAGGGGATGATTATGAATTGTGCAATCGATTAGAACATTCCAGTCAAGTGATGGTCATACAAATTGAACAAACTAAGTTATAGAAAGAAACTTTTTTTTCTTCCTCCTTGCAGATATTGACAAAGATTAAAACTAACTCTACCCTCCTTTTGAAACAATATAACATTAGTACAACTGGAGAGGTATCCATTCTAAATCCTACTAAATAAGTGATGAACATTGTTAATGCTTTACTGTGCTCTGTTCAATTTTCAGAAAAAAAAATTAATTGGAGCACACACTTCTTGTCACTGAAAATCTACGGTGCCCCACTTCAATTTTGTTTGTTCTCATATAAATGTTCAGCACTTTAAATTCGATTTCCAGAAAGTGCCTCGGAGCATATAGAATGCAGATGTTGCCCTTGTCTGTAGTATGTTACAGCAGCTGCCATGTGATCCCAGGCAAAGACCCAGCTTGTCAAGGTGTTGCAGGCAGGTGTTTACGGTTTCTCGAATAGATATCCAGTTGACATAAGCCTATGAGACATATGCTCCCTAAAGACTCATTATTAAAAATATTCCCATCACACTTCTTGACCATGCTTCTCATAAAACTTGAATGTAGCAGATTTCCTTGCAATACTTGGGTAAGAACGTATATAGGATAAGAAGTCAATACTTTATATCCATGATGGTGAACCTATGACACATGTGCCACATGTGGCATGCAGAGCCCTCTCTGCAGACATGCGAGTTGTTGCCCTAACTTAGCTCCACTGCGCATGTGCACGTGCTTCCCGCTGGCCAGCTGGTTTTTGGGTCTGTCGCGCATGAGTGGAGGTTACCTGCGCATGTGTGGGATGTGCAGGAGGGTTGTGCACACATGTGTGGGATGCATGCATGGGGATCCCCGTACACATGCTTGGGGAGGGGCACATGCAGGGGTCACATGCGACTGCATGGGGCGGTGGGTCACACATGCAATGCATTATGGGTGCATGTGTGCGTGTACTTTCAGCAAACAGTGATGAAAAGGTTAGGCATCTCTGCCTTATATGGACAAATTGGGAATATCCAACAACCTTCCATTTCATCAAATGTTTTCTTCTTTTTTTGTCTAGGTCAACCTTGATTTTAATACCAAAGCCTCTGTAAATCAGAATATGGCTCATCCAACGCTCAACACATTTGATGCTGCACAGAACAAGATTTATGCCCTGATGGAACAAGACAGTTATCCGCGCTTCTTGAAGTCTAACCTTTACTTAGACTTCCTCCATGGCAGACCTTTAGGCTGCTCAGCTCTTCGACGGAGATCACGTTCTTTTACCTTCAATGACTTCAAAGGTGCCCAGCCAGATTTTGCTGTCTGGCTGTAAAAGTTAATTTCCTTTCGACCCCCATCTTCATGCCAATGAAGGGGCATCATTGCCTCAAATACTTTAGATAGGGGAAGTTATCATAGAACCCACAGAATTGTTTCTATTTTATTTTTATCTTGTTTACTTGATGATCAAATCCAAAGGTTTCATTTTCTTTTATTGCATGGATGGTCAAGATTTTTTTTACTCTCAGATACTCTTTATTAAATAAGGCCTTTCTGAGCTGCAAAAATTTGGATGACCATTAAAGAGCAACAAAGAATTAGTTTTATATCTCTTCACTGCAATCTAGTGATCATCTGTATTTCTGCAATCCATGTATAGTGCACCTAATAATGTGAAGGCCAAATCCGTAATAAACAGTAGCACATTTAACAATAATGGCTATGGATATGCACACTCATAAATAGAAATATGTTTATTGTGTACAAAACCTAAATACAATACGTGGCATTAAAGCAGGGAAATCCTGCCTCTTACAGTGTGGGAATGATTTTTTGTAAGAACATCAGATAGCATTATTCATCCAGCATTAGAACTACCAGTTTGCTTTCTTTATATTCTGTGAAGCCGTATATCACATTTTGAGACATGGCAAAGTGTGAAAATATTCAGGCTCAACATTATGCTTCCTAATGTGAAAGAGTGAAGGGATAACATTCAACAATTTAGAAAGAATAAACACATTCTCAGAAGTTTGGTTTTAAATGTGACCTAGAAAAGCATTGAATAAATTGAGGAACAAGAAGTACATATGCCTGGGATAAATTCTTCAGAAATTCAGTTTGGTGTAATAGTAAAGGCATCAGGCCAGAACCTGAAAAACCACAAGTTCTAATCGTGTTGAAGCATGAAACCTGTTGGGTAATCTGGGACCAGTAACTGCCTCTCAGTTCTAGGAAGCAGACAACAGTAAATCATGTCTGAAAACCTTCCCAAGAAGCCTGGAGGGACCTTATCCAGGCAGTTATAAGGAGTCAATTCTGACTTGACGGTACACACACAACCAAAAACAATAAACCTTACAGAATGTAGGGGAATTGGTGCCTGACTAAATCTTCTTAGGATAATGTAATTAAAAAACAAAGAGGGCACAGAATTGTCATATTTTCCCTTTCCTGTGAAACCACGATCAGAAATCTTTTTTAACGTAGGTATAAAATTGTAAGAGAGGACCGATAATTCAGAAGAAAAAAAAAGAATATTTAAAAACTGTTCAAATCTGCTGTCAAGGATACAAACCCAGGATTTCACAAAGTACAAGTGATGGATTGCCATGGGAACCGGGTACTTAGAGCAGTGTTTCTCAACCTAAGCTATGCTGGCTGGGGGAATTCTGGGAGTTGAAGTCCACAGGACTGAAAGTCGCCAAGGTTGAGAAACACTGACTTAGAGGACTCTTTGTTAGAATTAGGCCATCTGAGAAACCTCTGATTAGGAGTAAAGGAATAGACTAACCTAGAAAATGCAGTGTTCCCTTCCCAAGGATATGCCTAAAGATAATCCATATAACTGTATGTATGATGAGAGAGGATGTATACGAAGTCAGAGAAAGAGGCGGAATGTTGAGTTTGAGAATTCTGTAAGAATCTGCCTTAAAATCTTATGCGGGCTACTGTACTTTACTTTTCTGTTAAAATCTGCACCATTTGTATGTTCAGTGTGTACATTTGTAAATAAAGAACAGTGTGACATTCTGAGAAGACTTTTGTTATCTCTTTCCAAACAAGAGAGAAACATGGATACCCATCATATATGGCTATATCAGGGCTCAAACCAGTAGGAAAAGTGTATCGGTACAGTGCAGGCCCAGTTTTAAAAGATTCCTATTTGTTTAACTACGTAGTTTAAGGCTTCCACAAATCTATAATGCTTTCCCTCCCAGAAAAGTAAATGTGGACCATTTGCTTGCACCCTCAAAAGAAAATTAGCAAGTTTATTCTGTTGCGGAGGTTAGAATAACCTAAAGTTTATTTCTTTTCCTTATGCTACAGTTTTAAAGATCTGGTTCAGGGAACTTTAACCTCTTTGCTTTATATTACCACCAATTACCTCCACCTGACCGATTAGATCCCACAGATTAGGCCTCCTCCGAATTCCATCCGCCGGCCAGTGTCGAC